CGGGCCGGGGGAGCCCCCCCTGCCGAGGGCGGGGGGAGGCGGAAATGGCCGGGGTCAGCGCGCCCTGGCTCGCCCCCGACCCGGAGGCCGCTGGGTAGCGCCTTGTGGGGGTCGTTGGGGGAGGTTGAGGCCAGGGCTCCGACCTGCTGACCCGCTCTTGTTTGTATGTGCCCGCGCAGGGAGACATGGAGAACTATTTGGCGGCCGCGGCGCTGAACGCGGTGGACCGACGATCCTTACAGCGCTCGGCTAGGCTAGGTCAAGAAGTGCTGGAGCGGGCCAGGAGGAGGGCGGTGGACTGGCATTCTCCAGAGCTTCCCAAAAGCAGCGTGAGGGTCATTGCCCGGGAGCCGCCCTACCAAGGAAGACGGCCCGGAGCCGGCCCCCAGCGCCTTCTCCTAGGAGAGGTGAGGGCCCCTGTGCTGGGGGACCAGCCCATTCATTCTCTCGGCGGTGGCCTGCTGGGAACCAGGGCATGCCACCCAGAAGCACGTGAGGGATCCTGCCCTTTGGTGAAAGCTGTGAAGTATCGGGACAGTGAACGGAAAAGCCCTTTGAAAACTCGTGACAGTTGACCGATTCTTATTGGGTAGCTTTAGGATACCGCCGGTGCTCTGCTCTGGTTGGTTATCTTTTTAAAACATTCTTACATGCTACCACCTGATCAGAGGAAAGCCCGCAAACCTGTCTTTGTCCTGGACAAATTGCAAGTCAATGTATTCCTTTTAGAGTTGGAATTTTCTCAGTAAAATCCTTCTTACTGACTTAAACTTGCAGAGCCTTCCGAAAAGTTAAAAGGAAGTTATTCCCAAAATGACTTCATTCTCCAGTAGGGAATACCAGATCTCACCTGTGACTCTCTATTTGAATAGAGAGAAGAAACATGCCCAACCCTCAGTGCTTCCTTCAGAACAATGGCTGAATTCATGGACTATACTTCAAGTCAATGTGGGGTAAGTTGGTGTAAGCCAAAGCCATGCTCCTGATCCACCTGCTGATGGATCACCAAGTGAATTTTTTTTTTTTTGCGGAATTTAGGGAGAATCTGGAGACTGTTTACCCTGTCCCGTCTCCTGGGCAGATTGTAATTAGTCAAGGATTTAAACCAGGGGATAAATCCAAGTCAGACTTCATTCAGTACTCTGTAGGTATTATTGAGGATACAGTAGTGGACAAGTTAGAAGAGGTCTCTGCTCTCACTATTCTTTGAGACTAGTGGGAATAAAAAAGCTTATGTGCTGAATTCCAAAATAATCAAGTACAAATATTAGGAGTTTTTAAATCTTTGAAGTGAAGTAAGTTTTTTAAAAAAATCATTATGGCCACTCTAAACTGTAACTGAACTTCTCTTTTCAAAATGTATTGAAATAAAAACAAAACCCCTACATTAGATCTTAAGCTCTTCTTCAAGTTCCTGTAATGTAGCTTATAAGTATGTCCCTATAGGTTCATATCTCCTGTTGGCCACAAAGGTGGTTGGTTATGTGGAACAGGCAGCACCCTCGTGGGAAGTGATATGGTTTGATGGCAGGAGCAACCTCCCAAGAGTCAGACCTATGTTCTGCTACTTACTGGCTATAATGCCTCAGGCCAGTTAGTCTCTCTCAGCCATACCTTCCCCAAATGAAGATCTCTGATGTCCTTTCCAGCATTTACAGTCTATTTCTTTGGTTTCCCCTGAGAGATGAACACCAGAAAATTGTCATAAACTGTAGCATGAGGAACTTATAATTTTTGGTACCATTCATTGAAATGGGTGAACAAAGGTTTTAAAGACCCTCTTCTCAAAACCATATACTAAGGCCATCTTTAAGTACTTTGAGGGAATATTGAAGGCAGGCCAGCCAACATTCAAGATTACCTGCCTGGGAAGTACTCTCTGTCTTCTAGGATTTCCGGCAGACTCTGGTCTCTTCCAGCCTTACATTTTATGATTCTTATGTGGATGTGAGGGTGCTGGCCTATAAGGGAGAAGGAAGAGGATGTTTCGTTTCTGCCCTGCCTTTCAATTTCATATATTAAGATTTTTAAAAATCTCTAATCTTTCTACATCTTATATAAAATCCCCATGACTCCAAGAATAGAATTCCAACCAATGAAATATAGTTCAGAGAATATTTTTATGTTCTTATTCTGTAAATGGTTTTAGAAAAATTCATAACTTTGGCCTTACTGTAAACACTTTGGTTTATGGTTCAGTAAAAGGAATAATATTTGTCTTTGGTTTGAGGTTTAGCAAATTCTTCATTTTGGTTTTCAGTTCAAGTCTTCATTATGGAATGGAGCCTCAGAACCCCTGGCTTTCTGGGATAGAATTAAGAACAGTGTTCTGAGTTTGCCGTCACGATTTTGAAGCAGCCCCTAAAATACATCATTAGATCCATTATCTTGAAGTATTTTCCCCAGTTTCTCATTCTTCTGGTGTCATGCCTTAAATATTGTCCCTACACTATGTTCAAAACAAGCAGGCTTGTGATGTCCTTATCACTAGTCATAATCAAGGGCAAGTCTAATGTTAACTTCCAGGGCAAGAAAGGAAGTAGACAAGAAAAATGTTTCTGATCCTTTGGATTATTCTCCTTAAATTGGAGACTGCTTCCTCCCCTTCTCCACAGGGAAGAACGCTGCATAGCTGTTAGATTTATGTTACCATTTCCTGTTGTATTTCTAAATCTCAAGGAGAGGGGCTGCACCCCGCTCTTCTTTTGTCCTCGTCTGAGACTTAGACAATAAACATGGAACTGTTCATCAGAACTTGTCATGAGAGAAATGAAAGGGCATGTGCATTTGACATTGGGTCAGTTATGAAAATTTTTTAACCTGGTGGAATCCTGCCCAGCTTTAGGTGGCCAGAGTTCTTGCCCTACAGAGGCAGCAGATGGCAGCAAAGTAATGCCAAATGAAATTTCCTTCTCTACAGCCACTTCTCATGGGTTGATTTGTTATGTGATTTCAGAGGCCTGTCAAGAGGACAGGTAATTTACTTTTGCTCTCTTGCCTCTCTTCTTAACCATACTTTGCCTAAGTAACGGAGGTTTTTGAAAATTTAACCGGACTGTTTGGTTACCCAATATCTTTCACATTACTTCTCTAGAAATATTATTCGTCTGTGCTAGAGGAAGGAGGGGCAACCCACGTCTATCGTTACCACAGAGGGAAGTCAAAGCTGCACTTGTGCTCGGACGTAGGGAATGGTCAGGTATGTATCCTCAACTGTCCTGTGCCCTCAGCCTCTCAAGACGGGAGACCCTATGTTCGGGAGCGCCTGCTGGATCTATATTATTGGATGTCTGCATGACTCAGCATCACAGTGCTCAACGGAAATGTATCAACCCCCAGCCTCAGAGAACTTACAGCAGTGAACATGAAATAGCGGTTTGTCCAAAATATAAGATTGATGACTCAGTAGGATCTTCTGTTGAATCTGCAATTCTGGGCAATGAGATTCTTGGACAGACTTAAAGAAAAGAGTTTCAAATATCCTCTTCTCCATCTAAGGATAGGAAAGAGATTTTTCGTAATCACATATTTTACTCTAAGGTAGTGATACCTGTCTTTGGTAATCTTTAAAAAGTTCAAGGAAGGGGTCTCTTTTAACAAAATACTTTTTCTAAAGATAATAACAATTACAGGCCTCTCACTACAAACTTACCCGTATTTTACTATGTCATTCTGGGGATGATAAAGATTCTACTGATTCAACTGAAATCCTTTTTTGTTGTTGTTTTTGAAGAGAGTAGGTGTTTTTCTTTTTCTTTTTAAACTCCCTTAGTTATACTCAAAGATAACAAGTCCAGAGTCTAATCCACAAGTTGGATTTCTGACTTCTGTCCAAAACGGATGGAGGTAGCCACAGGGATATGAATGAGGAGGCCTGGATGCATGCTGGAAGTCCCTCTTGTTTCCCTGGCCTGGCATATGAGGAGTAACACCTCATATACCCAAAGCCCAGGTTCCCTGTTCTAGCCTGGCCTAGAGCTCTCTTAAGTGAGCCTGACCCTAAGGGGGTTCCATGTGGGCAATAGTCATTCCTATCCCTCCCATTTCTTCCATAAAATGTAATTTGGTGCCTCCAAGGGAAATTGACTTTATCAGTTTAGTCCATTCCTCCCCTAGTATCGCTACTCCTGGGGGAAGCACAGAAGAGAATTCTGTTACCTGAGCGCCTGTTAAGTGTCACTCACTTTTGCACTTTAAATCTTCTCTACAAGCTACTATCTCATGTTATAGACTAAGAAACGGGCTTGGAGAAATTAATTTGTCACTCTCAGTAAAAATAGCAGAGATAGGATTTAAACTAGGTCTGTCTGACTCCAAAGTCCATATAAGGATAAAAAGTAATCACAGTAAACACCTGGGTAAAAGTACCTTGCAGAATTTACTAAAAGCCTTAATAACTTAGGTGATAACTTAGAAAAAACTGACAGAACAATTGTTAGTTCCTAATAAAGTAGGTGAAAATTTCTCTTTACAATCCAAAAGTCAGAGCTTGGGCACTAAACAAAGTTTATGCTGGTCTCTTCAGAGAAAAGAAACATCCCTTGGTCTTGGAGGCATCTATCAAGCTGCAGAATGTGCTCTAGAGGCATCCCAGCCAGTGAGTACAGAGCTCCTAGTGTCCCTACACTGGGCTTCACCACCATTGCAGTTCCATAAACCAGTTGACCTTGTTATTGTAGGGTTCTTTATACTGGGTCTGTAGTATTTTTAAGTTGAGATGTTTTTATCCTTAGGGAGAGTGTACAACAATTTGGTTCAGTGTAAAATTATATTTTCTTGGTATCCTTCCTTCACTTGAAGCATCAGGGATGCTCTGTGCCTGAACTCAATAGTTGTGGTTGGAAAGAATGTGAAGTATTCACATCTCAGTTTCTACAGCTTAGCTGGGCTGGCACTGGGTCCTGCTAAAATTTCACCATCTGTTCAAGCAGCAGGAGAGGCCTGACCCTTGTGCTTACAAAGTAAAAACCATTGCTGAAATTCTGAAACATATACATTTGGTTAGATCGAGTTCCAAAACATTTTAAGGGATTTGTTCCCATTTTTCACAAATGTTTCTATGTGAAAACATACTGGGATGAGTTTTCATTTTAAAGATAAAGTACTCATTAGTTCATAAACTCAGGAAATCTTTTGGAATTTGGAAGGACTAGAATTCTGAGGAAAGAAACTCTGGCATGTTGCTGTAATAATTTGCTTAATTTTTGTTTATATACAATGTACTGTGAGCCAGAATACACTAGAGGTAGTAGCAACTAAGAATATTCTGCTTCTAGTACAGATGTAAGTTGTTTGGCTTAGATGCCTCAACAGTTGCTGGATTTGGGTAATGCTCATCTTCCTGAAGTTCATGGTATTGGAATCATGGATGCCAGTCTTACCCCTTTCCTTCCTTTTATTCAGACAAGTGAAGCATCTTTTGCTTTTTATAATTCTGATACAGCTCTATTTTCTGAAACCTACTTTTATTTACATAGTTGATGACCAATAAATAGTTGTGGCATTGTCACATATATTCACATCAGTTAAATGATAATAGACCTCCAATTTTACAGTCATTAGACATGAAGTATAAAGCATCTTGGAAAGAATTGGCTTCAAATCTGTCTGTAAGATGGAGGGGGAGTAGTTTTGTAAAAGTATAAATATTATCATTTATCCTACTGGAATTTGCTGGCCAGTGGTTTGGGGTTTTTCCCCTCCCCCGGGTGTGGTGGTAGAAATGACAACTTCTGGCTGTGGCTCCTTCTGAGCATTGAGTAAGCACGAGTGGTGTCCTAGCTGTGGGATAAGAGCCTTGGCCCTTAATAACAGGCTCTTTTCTGGTTTGCAGCTTTGTTCTTTTGCCATTTGAACTAAAACCCATCCTCTGCCTGTACACCTGCCATGACCCACTTCCCTGCCATGTGCGAAGTTTATCATTAGAGGATGGTTTGTGCTCAGCTCAGCTCTAAACATAAATCTTTCCATTCACTCCAGCTTCCAGTGTTTTATTCTATAGGAGAACCAGTCCTCCGAGGGAGAGCTTTTGCCAGCCAGCTGACTTGCCACGTGACAAAATGGAATCTACTCATAGTGTTCACAGCTTTAAGAGAATGTTTCATCGTCCTAATAATAAATTTAGCAAAGCCAAGTGAAAAAGAATGATTCCCATTATTCTAAGGTGCCTTGGCATTACTGCTAATCAGTGCTAACATATGCCACTATCTGCTTTTGATCCCCAAACCAAACCTTTCCCTATATCTACTTTTTATCTTTCCAGTCCAACTAGAGTGTTCCTTTTATGATCCTTCATGTTCCTGTAACACTTGAGCCTTTACAGAGTGTGTTCACATGCATGCTTATTTGTGAGGTATTATCACAGTCTTAGAAATAAGGAAACAAGGATAAGGAGAGGCTGAGACTCACCTGAAGGGTGGTGCTGTTGTACGGCTGACACTCGAAAGCAGGACCTCCATCTCCCACATTAGCGCTTCATTCCATCCGGCCCCTGGCACACAAAGGTAGCCTGGCGGAGGTGCCCAGGGCGTTGGGCTATAAAATCTCTAAACTGCTAATATCCGCTTTCCTTCCAGGCTGAGAACATCTTTAAGGATCTCTACATAGAAGTCTATCCAGGAACCTATTCCGTCACTGTGGGTACAAATGACTTAACCAAGAAGACTCAAGTGGTGGCGGTTGATTCAGGACAGAGCGTGGACTTGGTTTTCCTCGTGTGATGTTGACCATCACATTTCCTTTTTTTAAGTAGCAATGAGAATAAAGCCACCATATGATTCTCTTAATATTTACACAGTAATCCTGCTTTTAGGGCTGACTGTAGAGGGTCAGTCTTCTGAGGAACTGGAGCTTGTCTCTCTCAATGCCTATTTTAACTTGCAAATATAAAAATCCCATCACCCTTTTTTGCCCGAAAGTGATAATGATGCTGTCTGAATAGTTCTTACTGCTTGCTTTCCGAGTAAAGGTTAATTATGATAATAAAAGGAGAGATTTGGAAATAAAATTCTTTTTTTATTGATATTAAGGGCAACAAAATGTCATTCGTGTACAACTGTAGGCTTTATGAAAAGATGGCAGAGAAGCTGTGGACACATTTGCCCAAAGCAGGCCGACCACGACCTGTAGCTTCTGTGGAAGAGGCATCCTGAGGCTGATCTTACCAGGCCCTTGGCAGGGAGCCCCGGCCAGGCCCACCACACTCCTTTGCCCCTTCTGACAAATGCTTTCCTGCCACCCATCTGCAGGGAAGTCTTATTGTGGTGAAGATGCTGCTGCTTATTTGGCTGTCATCTGTGGCCTGCACTGTACCTCCTTCCACTGAAGAAGGCTTTGTCAGCCACTTTGTAACTCTTCCTCAGGTATCTGCCATCACTACTCTTTAACTTCCTATAAGAGAAAAAAATCCTGAGAGTCTTATGCTGACTGTACTTGTAAGGATCAAAAGTCACTGATTCCAAAAACACGTTGATGTGTCCTAAACTCCTCTGAGCTATGCCACCAACAGTATTGTTGCATCTCTCTGTTCAGTTGCCTGGAAATCTCATTTGGAACATAACAGGTCTTTCCTCAGGAAGAATGCCAGTATTTTAAAAAGGACAGTTTTTGGTGGAGCAATGATAGCATTCCTAGTGAGGAACAGACTCCCATGGACATAGGGCATGTAAACCAGACTCATTCCCATCACCACAGGGTAGAGGGTCATTTAAACAGGGATCTTTACCCCCGCCCCCCAAGAAGCCAATGGTGACCTTTATGCATTCTGTAAGCCTTCTGAAATGATATGCAAAATTGTGGCTATGTGCATTTTTCTGGGAAGAGGAGCCATGGGTTTTATTTTCAAAGGAGCGTGATCCCAGAAGTTCAAAGAACCATGGAATGCGCCTTTAGGAAGCCCCTTCTCAGCCATGGTGCTTTACCTAGGTCCTCTGGGCTGTTAGCCTAAGAGGAATTCCGGTCCCCCTGACGTGTCTTGGTACCCTGACTCAGTTTCCTGTGTTCCGCTTCCTCTGGCAGGCCCTGGGGTGGCGTCACGTTGGTTGCTTCCAGGACCAGTTCCTTGGTACTCCCCACTGCTACGGTTTGGTCTCTCTGTTGTTTGTTGCCTTTCTCTTCTTTCCAGATGTTGGAACATCTTGTTCCTAAACCCAAAATTCAATTAGATATGTTGAATGTGACACCGTTTTGATGGAATTAGTCTTGATGACGCAAGTACAACTATATCAAGGGTCACGGAATCTTTACTACCTGTAAGCTCCTAGTACTGTTCTCTATTTTTAACAAAGAAAAAGTATGTTAAACATTTCTGGCTATTATGCTTTTGAGAAAGGTTGTATCTGATCACCAGATTTGGAATCGGGTAGAAGTTATCAGACAGTTTTCAAAACAGTC